TCTTTTCCTTTCCTGTCTCATATTTAGAGAAGCATGGATATCCCAGGGTTGTAGAGTAAGAAAACACTATTTCTGTAGAAAGACAAGTTTATTGCATGATGGATATTGATGTACATTTAAAATTTCTTAAGACATGCTCATGGACACCACTTACAGGCAGTTGAAACTATAGATCTAGGTCTTAGTCAAGAAGTCATAAAACTTTAAGGATCATAAAACTTTATTTTTTTACATCTGTTTTAAAATGTGTTATGGTCTGCTCCAGTGTGTCTTAAAATGGAGAGAAGGTGGACAAGTAGGCTTCCAGGGTCAAATAGAAAACATATAGTTCATTTGGTACAAATTAAAATTATTTAAACTCTGATCTGATTAGAAACAGTCAGTCTTGAAAGAGCAGTAGAAATTGTAACACAAATAGAAATGTATTTTCTTTGTCCCCACTACTTTTTGACAATAAGTCTTTTCTTTTCTTTTTTTTAAGTAGAGGTACTGGGTATTGAACCCAGGCTTGTACATGCTAAGCATGTGCTCTACCCCTGAGCTATAGCCCTCCCCCTGACAATAAATCTTGAGTACAGATCTAAGATCTTTTCCTTGAAAAAAAAAAAGCAGAAAAATATTCACTAGTAGATAGTAGTATTCCGAAGTCATGGTTCATGGAAGGTTATAGGGGTTTTGGAATATGCCAAAGTTAATTATAGTCTTACAGCTCTGGAGGAGACCCAGGAGAAGTCAACTTCAAACAAAGGTCAGGGTTAGTTAGAAAGGCGTATCACACTTAAGCTTGAACTCAAACAAAGTGGCATTAAATAGTAAAGGTCCAGTGAGTATCAAATTTCATAATTGTGTCAGGTGCTTACAATTTTTAGATCTTGTAAAATCATATGACCCTTTTAAAAAAAAAGACTATTTATGTGTTTTCAAAAAATGAGCTGATTCTTATGAGTGAAAAACTGAATAAAGAAGTATGTGATTGCTTTCACCTCGGAATTATGTTGCTAAGATGCCTCCACGTTGTGACAGCGGGGCTGTTTGTGGCTCAGGCACTGCAGTCACTGTGGGGCAGCTGCGCTGAACTGCAGACCAGCCTCTGTGGAGCACTGGGCAGGCTAAGTTAACAGACTCTTATCTGTTCTAGGGTGGTAAACTCATCTTCATACTCGGATAATAAACAATTTTCAGTTTCATTAGCAGGGAAGTAGGAGACCATTGATTCTGGAAGTGTAGATAAGAGACCAGCTAGAGGACATGATGGAGAGCTGCCCAAGACAGTTTCCTGGTGCTCCGTGCACCGTGGATGCTTGTGGGATGTGGCACCGATGCTGTTCTGCAATTCAGAGAGTTACATTTAATTTTTGAATTCAAGGGGAATGAATTGCTTATGTTAAAACCTTCCCGACCTTTGAAGAACTCTTTGCCACTTCTTAATTTATTTTGTTGCAGCCAGCTCCTCTAACTTCTTCATATTTTTTCCTTAGATAAGTGCACCAAGGCAGTTGCTTCACAAGTTTTTCTTCTCAGCAGTGGAATGCAAGCAAATCAATATTTAATGGTCTTTGTGCAAAGCTTAGTAGAAGAATAGATTTTACTTTGCTACTATAGGGGGAAAAATAGACCTTGTGCCATTAGGAAGCTGGGAGAGGAAGACTCTTGGAAAAATTATTAGTGAATTAAAGTCAATATGATGATGATGCTACTGGCCCAATAAAAAGTCTGAGAAATCAACTATTGGTCATAAATAAAAATAAGCAATTGCAGTCTGATTTAGAGTGGCTGATGCCAAAAAAAATGTAGTCAATAATGCATGCAGTGTATCCCTCTATGTTTTTCTTTTTTTAACCATTTCCCAGGTCTTGGGTTTGGGGGAATATATATGTAGCTGTGAGTAGAAATAATTTAGAAGAGGGATAAACCTCCAGATCTGTTGATGAATACCCTCAGATATGAATATGTTTGAGTTGAATTAGTGTAAATAAGTGAAAGGAAGTTCTGTATTTGAGCCTTGTGGATGTAAAATTTCATTCCTTCTTATTACTCTGTTATTTTATTGAGCTCCTAGTTACTTCAACTAGACAGATATTTGCTTATAGCAAGAGCTAGGGATTGGAGCATAGAAAATCCCTCATATAATAGCATGGCATTGCTACCTCTGAGGCCAGCAGGAAAAACAGGTGCATTCAGGAGGAAGAAAATTAGCCCCAAGAGTATAACTGCTTAGGTCATTAGCTACTAGGAAGGAGTTTAGCTAATACATGTAGTTGTACACATAGTTGTGGAAATACCTACTTGAAATCTTCCTAAATTATTATACGATTTTTTTTTTGAAAAAAATCTCTGCCTGGAAAGTTTTGTGGAATCCATTTTTTTATGCTTCAAGCAAAATTATATGGTAACAACATCACATTAGACTTAATCCAGTGACAGCTGATGTATTTTTGCCAATAATTTTTTAGTAGCACATGTGCAAGTTTCTGAAGAATTACAAATATGTAGATCATTTATCTACACTCATTATTTCTAATGAGTAGATATCTATTTTTAAATAGATAGAAAGCAGAAGACTATATCTATGTGTGCGTAAGGATAATTTTTAAATCAAAGACCATGGCATTTATTTTTTTCAGAAATAGCCTCATCTGAAGAATATCTCTCTTTTAAAAATGTGTAACATTTTGGTACAAAATGAAACAACTGTACAATAGAACTAGATAGCTTTCCATTCCATTTTACTCTTTTTTTTTTTTAATGAAGGGGAGGTAATTGGGTTTATTTATTTATATTTGGAGGAGGTACTGGGGATCAAGCCCAGGATGTCTTGAGTGCTAAGCATGCACTCTACCGCTTGAGATATACCATCCCCCCTATTCCATTTTAAGTGGGAATATAAATGTTTTGCTAATAAGAAAGTATTTTTCTAGGCATCTTCTTCAAAATAGTAATCAGCACTGATACGCTTATAGTTTGTTGGGCTGAGATTGTTTTTCCACAGAAATTGTGTTAAAAATTATCTGCAGAACAAGGAAATGGCTTTGTGTAGCACTGAGAAAATTCTCACGTCTTTTTCGGGTAAGAACAACAGCACTGGCCACTTTGCTTTGAAGATCAGCTCCTGTTCCCTGTAGAGAGGCTTATTTCTAGAACTGAAAGCTGGTAGTGAAGGTGCTACTCTCCTTCAGGCTACTGCTTTAAAGCATGTCATCTCTAAGTTCAACTTGGAGATACTTGTTTTGATGAGAAGACACAATGTCAAATGGTCAACAAAAGCTTCTGCCTTTTCCTGGTCTCCATGCTAACATAAACACTTTTTAATAAAAAATTTTTTTGTTGGCTTCTTTTCTGTGATTCGTGTGTTCTTTTTTCCTTTTTCTGTGTCCAAGTAGAAGAAACACATGCCATTTCATTTTAAATGAAGCTTTCTATTTTAAAGAAATCTTTATACAAACTAAAATGCTTTCTAAGGTAATTGTGTATTATTTTCTATTTTAATATTGACTTAAATGACTAGCAGTTTACCATGGTTATGATGTAGATATGATGTATATTTCTTAGCTAAGTAATCTATAAGCAATATAGTAATCCAGTCTCCAAGATGTTAAATGACTTATCCTACACATGAAACATTTTGAGAGAACTGGAACCTTTATTACATACACCTGTATTATATTACATAGAAAATATGACCATTCACCAGAAATTTAAAATGCATGGAACTTCTCATTTTAAAATATGTATGGGGTGGGTATAGCTCAGTGGTAGAGCACGTGCTTAGCATGGACGAGGTCCTGGGTTCAATCCCTAGTACCTCCTCCAATTAAAAAAAAAAGTTAAAAACCTTTTTAAACATAACATTGTAAACCAATTATAATTTAAAAAAGAAAAAATAATAATAGGAGCAAAAGAAGAATAAAAAATAAAATACGTATATAGTAATTTCTTCCCATAAGTATAAAAATACCAGTGGGTTAAATAGCAGTTATTCTGCTCTAGTTGGTGCTC